CAGTGTTGAAACCCATCCTGTTCTCATCCGCCCACCCCTGTGACCTGTCTAGGTCCAATTGCAGCCTGTCCCTCCCTTCTAGTGTGCCCGCTTCCCCGCACATCTTAGCGTCGTCAGCAAATTTGAACAGGGTGTTTTTCATCCCCTCGTCCAAGTCGCTGATGAAGATGTTGAACAGCACAGGCCTGAGGACCGAGCCCTGGGGGACCCCACCGCCCACAGCCCTCCAGGTCGAATAAGACCTGTCCAACACCAGTTCAGGGCAGACAAATGCACGGTGCTGCACGTTGGGAGGAATCATCAAACAGCTGCAAGATGAGGGACCCCCGGCTGGACAGCAGCTCCACGGAGAAGGGCCCGGGAGTGCTGGTGGATCACAAGGTACGCAGGGGTCTGCAGCGTGATGCAGCCACACAAATGACCAGTGCAATTTTGGGCTGCAGAACAGAAGCATCGGGCCGGACACGGGAGGTGCTGGTGCCTCTCCGTTCTGCGCTGCTCAGGCCGCGGCTGGACACTGCAGTTCTGGGCTCCACGTTGTAAAAGGGCTGTGGAGAAATGAGAAGAGGGTGCAGAGATGGTAACAGAGAGGTGCAAGGGCTTGGGAGGCAGGTCCTAGGAGGAGAGGCTGACGGAGCTGGGCAGGTTCAGCTTGCAGAAAAGGCAGTGAAGAGGGGACTTGGCCGCAGCCTGCAAGTCCCTGGAGGGCTGCCGGAGAGACGAGGGGAAGCGCCTCTTCTCCCCGGCTGCAGAGAGGAGCACGCAGACCCATGGCTGGATGTTGCAGTGGGGTTGGTTTAGGTGGGAGATCAGGAAACACTTCCTCACTGTCAGAGCGGGGAGGCTGAGGGAGAGACGCCAGGGCCGGGGGGCCTCTCCACCACTGGAGGGTTCAAGGAGAGGCTGGGCGGGCGCTGGGCAGGGATGCTGTAGGTGCAGCGATGCCAATCTTCTGCCACGGGGATTTCCCAGGCTTCTTGGCTTTGCTGGTTCCCCCCATCCCCTTTTTTCGGCTATACGTATCAGGGTGTTTTTACACCTCCCCGGAGGCACTGTGTGTTGGCTGCAGCCGGGGCTGGGACCTTCGCTGGGCTGGGCTGTGCTCATTCTCCTGCTAAGAGCCTGCCTAGAGGGTCTTGCCCCTCTGCTCGGGGTCAGACCGATGCCATATTTGGGGTCAAGGAGGAATTTTACCCCATGGTCAGATTGATACGGACCTGGGGTGGGGGTTGCCTTCCTCTGTGGCGGGCAGCATGGCCTCTACTCAGGACCTCGTAGATTGACATATTGACTGCTGCGGTTCCCTGCTTTCCCTGTTAGGTCTGAGCTGTGTCAGGGCTGAGGGTTGTCTTGTGTAGAGTTTAGATGATGGTTGTCTGGGCTGGTTTGGACGGGGCTGACCCTGCCTCAGGCAGGGGTTGGACTGGATGTGACCCCGCAGGTCCCTGCCAGCCCCGCGGCTCTAGGACTGTGTGAAAAGGTAGAGCACAACACCTGGTTTTTTTCCAGTTGCAGAAAAATTAGAAGCTTTACTGACATGCCAGGGAGCTAGCACAATGTTATTCTGTGTAATATTCGTTTGTGCTTTGATCTAACTATTGGAACGGGCACCAATGTGCTAGATCGTATCTAAAGTTTTTAAAAAACACAGCAAACTAGGCAAAAAATAGTCAAAAGAGTTGAGAGACCTCATGCTGTTAGACCCGTAGTCATCAGAGTTAAATGCACGCTTCTTATCCCCATTCATAAAACAAGATCTAGCCCTCTTGACTGTCTTGACAGTGCCTCCAGTGCTTCACTGTCAGTCATTTCTACACTTGAGTTCGCGTGACCCCAGCTGAGCTCAGGTTTGTAGCTAGAGCTAAAAACACTCTGCAGGGCTGTGAAATAGGAGAGCGACAGAACCAGGATAGGTTGAGAAGGGGACATCAAGACCATTAAAAAGGAGAGAGGGTCATTCACCCTGTGGAGCGGAGAGATGAGCAGGAATCAGGGGGATGGTGGAGCCATGAAGTCAAGTGACTCCCTCAGCGCTGCCTGGACAGAAACGCTGCTCTCCCGGGCAGTTGGATTTAATGTTTGGCTGGAGCAGGAGACTGGTCTGGACTGGGGGGGATGTGCCTTCCTCTGCAGCGGGGGCACGGCCTGGGACTGGGCTCTCTGCAGCGTCCACGACCCCCCCGGGAGCAGCAGGACGTTGGTGGTCGTGCCCCACCTGCTTTCCCCATGGTCGGGGCTGGTGTCGAGGCAACGTTGACGATAGTTTTAATAAGAGTTTAGACGACAGGTTTGTCTGGGCTGGTTTGGACGGGGCTGATCCTGGCTCACGCAGGGGCTGGACTGGATGCGACCCCGCAGGTCCCTGCCGGCCCCGCGGC